TACCATAAACAGTTCAGTGTTGAGCAACCACAGATATTGATACTATCTTTAATGAATTCTTCACTATATTCATATAATTTTACTAAAATAATTACCTTGTAACACAAACTTATGAAATGGATCACATGTTTGTCTACTTAACATTACTTATGTAAAATTCATAGGATGAAGCCTTTGGTGCATTATGTTATGTAAACCTGTGTTACATAAACCTCTTATGTAAAGCCTGTGAATGAATTTTTGGTAGATCAGTATAAACTTCACACGGGGCAGGGAATCTCATTGCTGCCTGTGTGTACAAGCTGGGGCTTGAGTTCCAAGGGTGAACAAGAGTGGAGCTCTCTTTGGTTTCCTTCATGTCATCCTCAGTTGCTGCCAGCAAGCTCCTTGTCACCTCTATTGGTGCTGCCAGCCCTGCAGATCTCTGAGCTCCTCAGGAGTCCAATTTGAAGCTATGAAGCTGCTGCTTCATGTTGTGGTAGCAACACCCAAGGGCCTGCAGACCTGTCTGCTGAGTTGTGCAGCATCACTACAAATGATTATTTATATTTTAAAGTCTATTTAAAATTAAAATATGGAAATTCCATATTTTGTTCCAAATTTTGTTTTAGGGTGTCAGCACTTTGCAGCAAATACAGAAAATCTCTGCAGAAAATGAATTGAAGCTTGAAAAATTGGTGGGAAGGAGCAAATAAACAAGGAAAGTTTAATAGTAGCATGCTGCCTTAAGATTTGAGCAAAAGGTTTCCTGACAAATAATGAGTTCAGATTGTTGTTCCTCTCTGATCTTTTTCTGGTCACCTCTGTCCATGTTACTGGAAGTTCCTTTTCCGCCTGATGTAGACAGAGCAGCTGCAGTTGCACTCTTGGTCACTCTTTTGACCCATGGCCTATTGAAAAAAAACCAAAAACAACAGACATCTTGCAAAGCAAATTATCTAATACCAAGTAACATATCTGAAAAAGCATAAGTACAGGCAAGGAAAGAGAAAAAACAAATCAGAGGGGAAGGAAAGGTCCTGGGAATCAAAGATCAAGACACCTGCCTGAAACGTTGAGGAAGGTTCTAGAGTAAAGGATGGAATGGTTCCTTCAAGAGATTCTGTGGGACAACAAAGCAGCATCAAACTGTCAGGAGGGTGCTGGCAGCCTGGCTTGGCAGGGAAAAACCATCTCAGATCAATTAAAATCTTTATCTAACTGGGTAAGTGGCCAAGAGAGAAGCCATGGTTGTGTCATATCATGAGGTCGATAACACTTTGAGCAGAAATATGAAGTGCCTTCCTATGTGAAGGGCTTTAAAATAAGTGGGAAAAGCACTGGTTAGCAGCACCTTCTGGCCAAACTGGTGAGATTTTCAGGTGGAGATACAAAAGTCTGTCCCACAGCAGTTTCTCTGAAATTTGCAGTTAGAAAATGAATGGAGGATGTGAGCTATCAAACCGTGGACTACATGGAAAGGGAACATGAGCACTTCCATTGTGGTTAGAAACTGTGAACACCTGTTAGGAACCAAAGCACAGGAATCAATTAAACACAAAACATTCAATGAGGTCAAGCAGCAGTGTAGCAGGTGGGCAACCATCCCACAGAAAGGACTGGGGATCCTAGTTGGAAGCAAAGTTGATACCAGAGACAGAAGAAATAATAACAAAAAAGGAATATCTCATTTAGGGGGTTATCTTTGTTACAGCACTTTGTGTGAAGCACCTGGGGTAACTTCCCTCAGTTATTCAGCTGTCAGTCAGTGAGGCTTGGCAACAGTGCTTAAGCCTGTTGCACCAACAAAAATATGCTCAGGACAATCACAACCCTGATGGAAAGTACAGCCTGTGGAAATAAGGAATTCGATCTTCCCCCCACTCCCGCTCAAATTAAAAAAAAAAAAAAAAAGGAAAAAAAAGAAAAAAAAAAGAGAGAGAGAGAGAAAGCACACAGTTATGCTTTCTATGATTTTCTAATATGCAAAAGAAATGAAGAACAAGGACCTACATGCTTCCATTCCCATTGAGGGTAAGAAAAATAGCAGCGAGTTTAGCAGCAGATTCATTGGATACTTAAAAATCTTTCAGGATAATGAAGCAATGCAATATTTCCTAGGTGTTTTAAACAACATTCAAGACCAACATGTAAAAGTAGCTGTACATCATATATAATCACAAAATGGTTTGAGCTTCAAAGGACCTAAGATCATCTAAAAGATCACCAAGTTCCAGCCCCCATGCCATAGGTAGGAACATCTTCCACTAGACCAGGTTGCTCAGGGCTCTATCCAACCTGGCTTTTAACACTTCCATGGATGGGGCATCCACACCTTCTCTGGACAACTTATTCCAGGGCCTCACCATACTCACAGTAAAGAATCTCTTCCTAATATCTAATCTAAACCTGCTTTCTTTGCAGTCATGTTTTGTAGAGAGGGGAAATGCAATAGGTATTGTTTAAGGACCTTTCCAAGCTAACACTGCTGAATCAGAAGCAGCAGTCAGCAAATGGAAAACAAATTGCAGACAGGGAAGAAAAACCTTCTTTGTTGGGGTCCTGTGATTTGGTTTCACATCTGATGTTACTACTGGGAAATTTATTTAAATGGGCTTCCTACAGTAAAGAGCAAGTGTGAGGTGGAGTCTTTCTCTCTCATCAACTTGTTAAGCTGCAGGTGGCATGGGCTGATCCCTCCGTGGCTCAGGCAGGGATCTGCCTGGAGACTGGAGCTGCAATGACTGGCTTTCATAGAAACCAGGCAGAGGGACCAATTAAACAACCTCTTTCAGCAGTAACTGAAGCAGCAGGAAAACACTGTCAAAACCAAGTCCCTGTTGTTTCAGAGCCCTAAGCTACGTGGGAGAACAGATTGTTCTGATGGTTGATTCCGAATGCTGCAGCTGGATCTGTTTGAGCCACATGTCCGTGTCTATCTCCCTGAGATATGCAGAAAACAAAGAGAAACACCAGCACATCAATGCAGTGCTGAATAACTGTGTTTGTTCTGCTTTGTTACTCATTGCAAAACTGGGCTGGGATTTCCTAGCCAGCAATTTGTCCCCAGGACAGTGCCTCTTACACTGCCCAGGACAGGCACCAGTCTGTGGTCCCAGGGACCCCCATGGAGCCGGTGCTGCAGCTGGGGGTAACTGTTTCTGTTTGCCTCAGTTTATTTAATTGCCTTCCTTGAAACTGAATACTCCGCTATTGGATGCACACAGCCTGCTTTTTCCCATTTCAGTGTTAAAAGAGATCACGTTGCAGGACTGCAACCTCAGAGAAGTTTCCCACCATCATCCATTCCTCAAACAAAGTCCTTGTGCTTTTCTAGCATTTGTTTCCTTGGGTTCCTCAACCAGCTCGTCCTAGAAGCAGGGATTTATTGCAACCAAAAATTCTGCTTCTGCACCTCATGCTGATGAGGCACTGATCCAGCCAGTATGCAGGCTCCCACTCATGCCACCATCCCACATTTACTGCTCCTCTGGCCTCACTGACCACTTTCACAGAACTCAAAAAGGATAGTACAGTCCTACTACAGCATTTTTATCAGTAGCAACTGGGATTTCCACCCACAGGTTTTTAGGGTGCTTTTCTCTTTCTGTAATATTTTTATGCTGTAACATTTTTATCCTTCACATACAGCATCACTCTACATACAGCATCACACCTCCACATCCTCCTCAGGGGTTCCTGCGAGGCTGGCAGTGCTCACTGGTTTTCTAGCCTCCTCCAAGTCTCTGAGACACCTTCTCTGTCAGGGTTGTCATTTGGTCAAGGCTGCAGTTGGAGGTTCTGGCTTGATTTTGAAGTCTCTAGCAACCATACAAAGACACTTGCAAGTTTGTCTTTGCTTTGTTGGTTAATACTGCATGTGCCAAATCCTTGCCACTGCATTCTATTTTGTCTTTCTCACGTATTGTGATTGTGCTGTTTATTTCCCTCATGTTTTTTCCAGAAATAAACTGAATGTTAGCCCTGTCCACCTTGCAGATCACATGAGTTCAAGCTAGATACTCCTCTGTATTTGTCAGCTTTCCCCAGCTTCTAGTGGAAATGTTCCTCTAAAAGCTCTTCAGTTTCCACTGACACTGGCTGTCTCTGCTACAACTCAGGTGCAGCCTGCCCCTTCTATGCTGCACCTCTCATCCATGTTTTGCCAGTTCCTCACATCTCACCCATCTACAAATCCCTGCATTTCCTCATGAAGCCATATTGCAGCATTGGGACACAGATCTTCTCCCAGCATCCAGAGCACCGTGCCTTCCCAGCAGGGGCTGGGTAACCTCCCACAGCTTAAATGGGCTTGATTGCCTTGGGAAGCTTGTGTCAGCCTAGGTTCTCCCCTGAAAGCATAACTAGGATAACTCATTTCTTACCCACCTCTTATTAAGATAATTAGCAATTAGAAGAAATGTTCAAGAACATGAAAAACCCACACAGTGAGGATGTGCCTGACCTGAGACTCTACTGCTGCAGCCCTCAGTCTTCCACAAACACTCAGTTTCCAAGAACTGGAAAGGTTCTTGTTCCAAAGCAGGCAAGGAGAAATTTGACTCATTTTTGTCCTTTAAATCAGGTTTTATTTTATTAATTCCCTGCTTACTCAGCCACTCCTTAGCTGATTCAGATCAAGAAACTAACAATTTTAAAGGGGTTTGGATGTGTTCATAGTTACAGAAACCAGGTTTATAGATTCCCATCATAATAATAAAAATCCTGGCAGCATATTTTTGTACCTTTCCTCTAGAAATGAAGACAAACTCTAAAAAGGCACAGCTGCATGCCTGAGCCATAAATGCCATAATACAGGACCAGATTATCCCACAGATATTTGCCCTGAACCATTTAATTGCCAGAGGCAATTCTTCCTTCCTGCCAGACACATGCAAGAAGAGTGAAGAGTTGCTGGTACTAGATCTGGTGCAGTGCCCTGCAGCCTGGCTTCTGGGTAAACCAAATTGTCCCTCCCCTGCAACTCCTGTGACCAATGAAGAGCTTCTTGTTAATCGATCATGGATACTGATACTGAATGGATTATTGTGGCCCTTGTTATAGGTACTACAGGTGGATGTCCTACACTTACCACATGCACAAAATATTTCAGTAGCAGAGCTGTCAGGTTGCTCTAGCTGGAGTCTGAAGAGCTAGCTGAATATAAATAAAAAGTCCCAGGGAATTCAGGTGAAACTGTCCAGGTGTGGCAAAGGAGGTTTTTATAGAGAATCTGGGCAGGGAATAAAGTTGTTTATGGTGGGAGTGCCTCAATTACTGTGATTAGCAGAAGCAAACTAGTACATCCTTTATGTTTCTGCCCCAGAAATAAAGGTAGCACAGACCATTTGGAGATTACTGGCTTGTGAATCACCTTTGGTGTTTTTTGAATGTCACTTGTTTTGAGCCACATCTGTTCTATTCTCCTTCCTGTCTTCTCCTTTCCTGTTTCAACCTTCTTTACACTCAGTCATAATTGTGAATGAAGAGTTCCATGCATGAGCTGCTGTGACTTTTTGCAGCTGGTTCTTTATGGAAAGTATCAACGGTACAGCAAAAAAACTTACAGAATCTCTCAGTGCAATGACACGGGACGAATTCCCCCGATAAAAATGTAAAAGAGCTGCTGAAAGAGCAAAACTGCATTTCACACCCTCAAAATCTACCGTGGGGGAGAAGGGGGTCGGGATAGATTGTGCCGCGGGAGTTCTGCCATCCAGTGGCTGTTTTCCTTACTGCTGCACAGCCACAGTAGCTTTGAAACCCACACCGCCTGCTAATTTGGGGTTGTTGACCTTTGTATTTCTCTGCAAGAGAGGATAACAGGGGCCTGGCGTAGCCTCTGCATGTCCGAATGCTGAGCAGTTGCAGCTCTGGTCATGTTATTGTTCCTGGATCTTTGCCTGCAAAAATGTCATTACATCCAGAAGCGCATTTTCCCATTGTCAGCATGTTATTGCTTCCAAGAACTGAAGGGGAGCAGCCGTTTTTGGACAAGGCTCCTCCACAGTTCCTAGCAATGGGACTTAAAATTAAATTAAAAGCTTTTTTTTTTTTTTTTTTTTTTTTTTTTTTTTTAATTCTAATTATGTTTTTGCTGTAGAACAGAATCCCTGTTGTGTCTGGGAGGATGCACAAGTTGTTAGGTGTTTCTGTTTCTTGTAAGACCAGCGGGGGTGGGAAGTGCACTGAGCCAGCTGTTCCAGAACACTGCCAGCACACACAAAGCCCATTTGTCTCCAGGAAATGCATTGAGAATATGGGGAGACATCCTGCAGCAAACATGTCAGGTCTGTGATCTTTGTCTAATGTTCTTGTAAATGATTCACTGTACCAAAGTCTGTATTCCATTAGGTGAATTGTTCCTCTCAGTTAATGTTTGTGTGTTTTCCCTCCTGCAATGGTGTGTTAAGACAACAGATAAATGCAGATAAATTGCAAGTCAAACAATCTGCAAGTCAGATAAATTGTAATGGGTGTAATTGAAGGATGTTTCTGTTTGATTTTCTTGGAGCTATGGAAAAGCAAGCTGGAGCCAATAAATAGTGTATTATTTCAATTGACTCTCATCTTTTTTTCTTTACTTTTTTAAAAATTTTGGAATAGAAGAGAGATTTTGAGATGCCTTCCTCCACTGGCCATGCAGGCAGCCCAAGTCACAAGCTTAGACTAAGCTAAGTTTTAGGTAATTAGGGGAGATGAATTGGGCACAAAGCACCCGTTCACAAGGTACATGAGCTAGCATGAGTAAGAGGTAATCCCCTCCAGAGCAGACCATGACTGCACCTGCTAGTACAAACCAGCACTAGTATCAAAAGGATGCCATGGATTTCAGTCAGCGATCTGAAAGCATTTTAACAGCATGACACACGTTGCATTGGCTTGACATCTGGTTTTAAAGACTGCCCTGTGCTGGTTTCAGCTGAAACCAGCACGTGTTCTTAGGCTGTTCAGGGCATTGTGGGAATATACTGAATGTTGACACAACTGGAGCTTTGGGGGCAGCTGTGGAACCAGACAGTCTGAGCTGTGTAGGTAGGCACTAATTCAGCTGTTCATTCCCCCCTTGCACCCATGCACAAGCTCATGCCTATTTTGGATCCTGGTCTCTGACTCTCAGTCATTGCCAAGCAAGCAGATATTTTCACAACCAACAAAGATCCTACTTGGGCACATAAATTTATGCTGGGAATAGGGTTGGCTTTGAGATAACATTTAAGACCATCACAGAAAAAATGAAAGTCTGCTGGGTGTATCCAACCTCTGAACCTACTTTTCTCTCTCCACTGAGAGTTTCCCTGAAAACCTGAACTTCTGAACATTTTTCCACTATAGTCCTAAATTAAAAGGGACTAAATCTGGGACTAATCCACACAAAGGCTTAGATTTAAAACAAGACTCACCTCACTTTCAATCTGCATGCTACAGAAATGCCCTCTGAATCTGAAGAAAAATGTCTTTTATACCATCTGTGTATTGATTTCTAAGGTACCTTTCAGTAAAATTAGTCACTTCTATCTTTGTTTCACTCTAAACAGATTCAGAAGGATTCAAAATGTCAGCTCAGCCATAACGACCTTTAGAAAAACTGGGTTTGGATTCTAAAATGAAAGGCAAAGTCATGCACATCATGTTGTAGAAGTCCCTGCCCCAGAGAAGACAGCAGAAGAACATGTTGAAATACCAGGCCAAGATGGCAAAAGCTGGCAATGGTGCGGGTCTGGCTCCAGCTGTGATTGATTGCTGCTATTATCTTTCAAGGGCTGGGACAGAACTGAAGGAGGGCCTGGGTGACCATGAGAATGCATTTGGCTTAATGCAGGTATGGCCAACCTTCTTAAAAACACAAATTTCATCCTTCCTTTGAAGCAGAGTCAGAAGAGTGGCAGGAAACTTTTTCAAAGGCAACCCCCTAAACCTTTTCAACCAATTCTTTGGCCAAGCTAAAGCTGATGCTGACAAGGCTAAAGTCAATGCTGACCAGGCTGTCAGCTCCCAGCACCAGGGAAGGACCTGGGTGAGCATCAGTGCATGAGCAGACTGCTTTTACACTGTGAAACTGATAATTGTTTCCCAGCACTCCCGTGGGATTGAAGAGATTAATTGTTCTTATTTCACATTCAGATAATAAGTCTTGTTTCAAAAAGCACCTTTTTAAACGGAGCATGCTGTGGGCTGCAGCTACTGCCATCAGGTTAATTACACTTTATGCACCACAGGGGCCTGGGTTGTGGGGGATCTTGCTTCATTATTCATGCCTACATTTGTGCCTAGCTTGTTCGCCAAGCTGTAGCCTTATCTGTAAAATCCTAAACATTTGCTGCATGCATGGGATCTGCTTTTGTAACAGCTCCAGCCCTCTCAGAATCGTGCTTTACTACCTCATGGATTAAGGAGAGATCCCTATAGGAAATGGATTTTCCCAGTCTTGATTCAGCTGGAGAGGGGCAGTCACCTTGCACCTGGGAACGCTGTGAAGCAGCAGCAATCCTGCTTTCTGCATACTGTCACCTTTACAACAGCAGCTGGGCTGTTTTTTAAGGCTCTGACAGACAAGGAAGTAGGGCTGGCATTCCTCTTCTGTGTCCAAACATCTGCCCTTCAGACATGGGCTGGCTTTGCCTGTGCCATGAGAAGTGCTTGTGTCTTCTCCATACAGTCACAAGAGAGGTAAATCCTGAGATTAAGGACCAAAATGAACACAAGCAGCTCTGGATAAGTAGTGGGGTATCTGGTGTGGTGATGTTGCTGTCTCACTTTCAGGCTGGCAAACAGTACCGTAAGATTGACGAGCCGTGGGACACTGAAGAGAACTTAGGATAAAACACTGAGATTTTATACATTATGATAAATCCAGAAAAAAATCTCCATCTTGGACAAAGGAACGGCACCTCAGAGGTTGAGTTTCATCCACTTTGAAACACTTCACATATATAAACTCAAGCATGACAATGCTCTAAGCACTGCAGAAAGCTAAAGACATCCCAGTCCCTATGTTCATGTGGAATAATATATCCTTAGTATGCACTAAAAGGAATAGAGGAATAAGATTAACCTTCCAGCAGGATTTTTTTGAAACCTGGCAAATACCATGACATTTTCCAGTTGCAAGGAGTAAGGGTGGGCTCTCCCCCTCCTCTCCATTCCATTTGTTTTGTTGTTCTATACCCACCTACAAAAAGTAACCTTTCCTGGTTGCCTATTCTGGCAAATCTGAAGTATTATTTACTGATGCAGCACCTCTGTTTACATGTTTCTTTCACCCTCCATCCAGGTGGGATCTCAGCCTATAATGCAGAAGTTAACACTCTCCATACTTATGACAAAATGGATACTGGCAAAACACACAACTATGCCAATAATGTGGATGCGAGAGCCAGGTTTTATAAGAAAAATGGGTATTGAGATCTCTGAGTAATGATTAGATTTGAGGCCCTGATTGCATACTTTGCTTCTAATTAAAAACATTCTGAATTTTTCCTCCAGAAACAATAAGATTGGGGCAGGAAAATGAAGCCAGGAACAAGAACAAACTTGGGGTTTTTTCCAGCTAAGGCTAAAAGACTAACTTAAAAGATAACACAGCTAATAGTCCAAAATGTAACTAACCTTTGGCCTTTAATTTTCATTCTACACCACGAGAATATCCAGAGTTTTCATCTGTGCCTGCAGTTTCTCAAGCAGCAGATTAATGCTGCAAGGAAGTTGTAACACTACTTAGTAAGATTTCAGCCACCTTATGTTTTATCTGTCAATACACATCTAACAGCTGTACAAAACAGCAGTGCCAGCTGTGGAGAGAGGCTGAGCTGTCCCTGTCAGAGACTTTCAAGACCCAACTGGACAAAGCACTGAGCAACCTCATCTGGCCTCAGTACTGGGCCAGTGTTGAGCAGGAGGTTGGACTAGAGACTAGAAAGGTACTTTCCAATCTGAATTTTGCAATCATCTTAAGTCAGTCTGTTTGCTCCCTACACAGAAAGGCAATGTCTCTTACCTGTGCTTCACAAAGATCTACGTGGAGCATTACAAAGCTCCATTAGTGAAAGGGTGTGGACACACACTGTGTTTGTGCACACTGCTGGTTCAGATTTTAGGGCTTGAGAGGAAATCTTGAGAGAATGTATGCTCATACAGAGAAGGTTTGGGATAGCAGACTAACTGTGGGAGAGTGGGGGCCCTTGGGGGAAATACCATTTCAGAAACACCCAAACGTACACATAGATTAAAAAGTTTTTAAAAAACTATTTTCTTTTTCATTGGAACTATCAGCTTGTCAATTAAACATCTCTGTAAACATCTCTTGCAGCTGCATCTTACTCAGAAATAACAGGTACTATGTATTTTCCCTTCTCTCTGTGTGGGAGCCTGCAGTGTTGGTATCAGACACTTCTTTAGCTGTGAACGGTACCAAGCCTTTCCATTAACACAGGCCCTCCGGGATACCCTGCAGCACTTTTGTAGGCTGCAGCGCCAGAGATCCATACTGAGAGCCTGTGGGATGGAGCTGGCAGAGCCCTCTGCTGGAAGCTCCCCAGGCCGCAGTGCCACGGACGTGCATCCCGAACGCCCCTGGCAAGGCTGAGCCAGCCTGGCCCTGGTGCTCTGGGACACCCATCCAGCCACAAGTCTTATTATGTGCTATCCACCAGCAGCGAGATCCATTTGCCTAATATTTTGTGTCCTAGTACTTGCACCATCTCTTTAAAGAATGCCCTGTGCCTTGCATGCACTACGTGTCCCCTAAAAGGGCTCAAATTCCAGCTCGGACCTCCCTGTGGGAATATGACCAACACCTCACAGAGACTGCAGTTACAACACACTGCAACACAAGATGCTGTGCAGATGCTGGAAGAAATGAGGGAAGTGAGAAAAGCAACATTAATTTATCTGAAAAATTATTAATTTATCTAAAAAGTGATTAATTCATCACTTCTTCCATGCTATTTTATTTCAGCTCAAATTGTCATTTCTGCCTTCAGCCTGGCCATAGGGGTCATTACACTCCTCAGTGCCACTACCACAGCCTATCCTTTTCCCTCTGCACGGTGCCTCCACCTCTTATGTCCCTGTCCTGATATATCTCTTCCTTTGAACTCCTACAGGTGTTTACTCTTCTCTGCAAGCAGGCAGAAAGGATAAACACTAATTCTCAGTGACTGCATCCCTCTGATGTTCTCACAACATGCAGTCATTAAGATTAACTCCTCTGCACTGTGTCTAACGTGGGAGCGGCTCACAGCGTGTTAAATTACAGAATTTATCCTGACTGGAATGCAAACTACTTTATCATTTGATACAGCAGCAGCTTGCTAACTTTGGCCACAGTTCTTAAAACCGTAAATACAATTACACACACAATAGCATTTTATAAGCTTGCAGCCCATAATTCTAACTCACATCAGAGGTTTGCTTCAGGGCCTCCACATTTCTAACGTCTGCCATTTTAGAGAAGGAAAAGCATTAACTTTCACAGAGACTGCAGCTCTTAGGCTATTCTTACTGAATACTTAGGATCAGGGGGTACATAAGAAAACAGCAGGTTTCCTGAAAGACAAATTAGACAACCAATCAAGAGGTGAATAACGCCTGTGACTCTCAAATGGAGATTTGACATGCTTTGTAAGCTACAGAAGAAGTCAGAGGACAGACTGTTTGCTAAGGAACAAGTGTGAGATCTGGATAACCATGGTAAATCACCCTCCATGGACAAACAGTCAATTCTCATGGGACAACTAAACTGAGGGCTTTTCAATTCCAATTCCTTCCTCTATGCAGTAAAAGTCCTGCAGTATTGCTGTAAATCTTTACTGCTAGCTGTGAAATGTCCTCACCATCATTAGCTATAACTACTCCACTCACTTCTCTGCTTATTTGACCAATAAAGTCAAAATGCAAGAGAACTTACAGTTAGCCAAAAACTGCAGCAATCTAGCCACAAAATTAAAACACAAAGACAGAGAGCATATAAGTCATTTAATATTTCAGATAACTATTAACAACATTCAATTTTGTATCTGTACACCTGCAATCCTTCTTTAAGCATCAGTATCACCTTTGCCATTCATACTATTTTACTTTTCATACACAAACTCTCAACTGGGGATTTAAAGTATTTATTTTATAAAATCTAAATCCAACCAGCACACCTTATGCTTTAATTTCTTTCTGCTCCACAGGTTTCAGGCACTTTCTAATGATAAGCTCTCCCCTGGTTGTCAGAAAGGTGCTGGACACTTCCTCTTCTGTTGGCAGCCCGTGGGGTAGTTTCAGTGGCTGTATTCTGCAGGCAAAAGAGTTTGCTTAGTGAAGTCCTGTGACTAGAAGGGAGTTACATTAAATGTTCCAAATAAACAAATAAATAAACAAATAGTTAACAAACCTTATGAGATGTTTCACAACTTTCAGTCTGGAATTCACAGAAGGGATATTTTTGTGCAGTCTTGGCTGATGTGCCTACATAAGGGATAAAACAAGTTTTACAAATGTGTTGCCAAATCCCAAATCTTTGTTCTCTGAACCTTGTACACTACCAGTACAAAAAGAAACATTTGCAAATGTAAGATTTAGAGAAGTGCCATGCATCAAGAACAGACATAAAAATATCCAATCACAACTTGATTCCAGTAAAAAGACAATTTCAGCTTTATTCCTACATCACTATAAATGCATTTTTCTTCCAACTGTTAAAAATACTGTAAATGTAAGTACAAGAGTTTAGGGGCAAAACTGCTTTCTTCAGTTATATCTTAAATTGATCAAGCACACACTTTTTCTCTGTAATATAACACCGACTAGGCAAATCTTTGGATAATGTGCAGCCGGCCTGAAAAACTCAGAAAAACACATCTTTGACACAAACTTTTAGAGTCCTGAATTTGGAAGGAATTTTCACTGATGAGTTTTATTTGCCTTCCTACAATTTCTGAATAATATGACCCACAGAGACCTGAATCCAAAGTATTTACAAACCTATTTATATTCTTCTAGAAGTATTCTCAGGGTAAAGTTCTCCTCAGGCAATGCAGCACAATACCATACAGAGACATTGTGAATTCCCACTAAAATCACATTTGCCACAAACATTCCCCTCAGCTCTTAAACACATCATTGCCTTCTCAGATTGCTTTATGGCTGATATAAATGTAATTCTGGTTTGTGACTGCAAAATGGAGGTCTTTATAAAAGCCACCAACTTAGTGCTACATTTCTGACAAACACAAGTACAAAAAACAACAATCATACTTTATCCAGTCCCAGATCACGTATTATCTTCTTTTCCCAGTACGGGCGACCAATGACACTCTTTATTCTAGTAACAACGTGGATTTTATGGGGCTCCTCAGGGTTGCCTCCATATTTTTCATGATCTCCAGGCCGTGGCTGAAATACCTAGAATAAGAAGTTCACAAACCAGGTTTTTTCCCTAAATATTTGGTCACCATTTGCCCAAAACATACTTCAACCTTACTAAAAATGTTTACATATTTTTCTCTTCAGGCAGTCAAAGCACCCACCAAATGACCTCAAATTTAGCTTTTATAACATGAAGTCAAACATATTTCTATAGTGGTTTGCTGATAAGTATAGTAACTCTTGAGTTTAGCCACAGAATGGCACAGAAATACACAGACTACACCCTGTACCTGCTCAACACCTAATTCACGTGCATTTCATCAGGGAGCCTGTGCTCAGCCTCTGGATGGCAAGTTTTTCCAAAGGCTTTAAGAATGCTTTTAGGGAAAAGAGTCAACTGACACCAGATGGTATCTTGCAAAAATAAACCAAAACAAGGTAAAGCATGTAAAGTACAAGTCAAGCACATACCGAGTCTGGAATATTCGACCTGGTAAAGAGGCAACGAACCCACACCGGGGACGCCATCGCCTCCATCCTCTTCCCCAGCACCTGCAAGGAGAGGAGGGAATAACTTGTGCGCACTTCCCTTACAGCTAGGAACACCTGCGAACAGATGACACAGCTACGAGTCCCAGCCCCAGCTGGATCCCCGCCTTCCCAGCGGCCGCGGAGCCCGAGCAGGATCCCCAGCTGGATGAACCCCCACGAGACCCCGCTTGGATCCCTTTCCCGGAACCCCATCTGGATCCCCACTTTCTCGGAGGCTGCAAGTCTCAGCCCCAGCCCAGATCCCCAGCTGGGTTCCCGTTTCCCGTTCCCCCTCTCCCCGGCTCCCCCTGGACTCCCCAACACCCCCAATCCCCACTCCCAATCCCCACCTTCCCGCTGCCCGCAAGCCCCAGGCCTGCCCGGCCCGCCGCCGTCGCCATCTCCGTGTGCACCCTTCGTCCCGGGCGGACACCGGTGCCGCAGCACTTCAGTTCCGAGCGGGCGGAAGGACAACGGCGCGACACCTCGCCTCCGTTCCCCCGCCCATCCCCGCTGCC